CTTAAAGGTGCCACAGGATCCTCTGTTGCTTTTTACAGATTCAGACTAACACTGCTACCCCTCTGATACTCCCCCAACAGCTTCTCTTACCCAAGACGACAGAAATTCTTACCCAGCGAGGTCACAGTCTCATAATTCTCCTGCATGACATCCCTGTACAGGGCTCTCTGACCCAGGTCTAGCAAAGCCCACTCTTCCTCCGTGAAATACACAGCCACATCCTCAAAGGTCACCAGCTCCACTCCAGCCATTTCCTTTCCCCGTCTCTCAAGGGAATGAGACAACCTGAAGCAAAATGTGGTTGTTATTCTGCAGCCTGTCCAGGTTAGAAAGGTGACTGGGGATGTTTTGGAAGGGGATTTAGTCTGTTTCACACCCCTATTCCCCACAGGTTCTTTCCCTGCAGACAGATGTTCTAGACTGATTCTGGGGAAATGTTTTTAATAGCTTTTTCAAACAATAGCCTTTTAAATCCATATTCACTTTTCTCAAAAAGTGGCCAGAGTTTCAAAAATGCTGAGCCTGCAACACTGGGGTTCAGTGCTGAGTGCCCAAAGCTACTGAAATCAATCCACTTACTCTGGAGCCTGAATATGGATTTAGGAGACTAAATTTAGGCTCTTGTTTAAATACAAGATCGTGACACCATCACCTTATTATACCATGGACCCAGCCCCCTCCCACCAAGACTAAACCCAGCGACGTTTTTCCATACTAGAGATTAAGTGAATTCAATGGGACCAGAAAGAAAAGTTAAAAAAAACACGTTAAAAAAAATGTGGGATGCATCTGGACATGCCTGATTTTTCCCTTTTACAACCTGCACCATCATGTGGTCATGTTCTGGTAAATCACCAGTATATAATTTTAAAATGTGATCAAGCGGTAACCTTTTACTGCATTTCTTTAAAAATATATATACTATGATACCCACAGGCATAGATGACTGGTTTCTACTGATGGGGGGGGGGGCCACAATTTAAAGATTTGCCCTCCCAAAAGCTTGAGTCATGCCCCCCTAGGCACATCCCCTCCCCACTCTTAGTGGTCCCTCCCTGCAGCTCCGAGGTGTGCCTCACAGGGAGAGGACCCGGCCAGCAAACCCTGGCAGAAATCTGGGGGGGCACCCCCACTCTCAATGAGTTGCCTCTGTCCAGAGGTTACCAGTAGGGAGATGTGTGTCCCTGGTGAAACACAATATTATTAGAGTTACTGTTTTAAAAAGTCATGTTAGCTTTAGGAAAGAAGTTACTGACTTGGGGAAATCTGTTGGAATTGAAAAATTTGCCTGGTCCATGTTTTGGTAGTAAAGGGGCCAGACAGTGTTCCCTGGGTAAGTTGTGGGTGTGGGTATTAACAATAAGCCCCAAGGGTATTCCAGACATAGATTCCTTTAGGAGCAGTCGCTGAGAAAAATATCTAAAAAAGAAGCATCCTCTGATAAAATATGTGTTAATTGCACAGTGTTCAAAATCCAGTATCGTCAGATAGGATGTTCCTTCTATGTTAAACTTGAGCACATTATCAGAAACCCTATACACTGTCATACTTACTGTAGAGGGCAGTGCTGCAGCAAAACAAATCTACTCTCAAGTTTCCAGTTTCAATGAGAGAATAATGATCAGTGCATTCCTGGTCTGGGGTCAGGTTACAGGCATACAGCATGTAGGCCTGTGCAAATTCACCAGGATCAATCAAGCATGCTCAGTCTTTTACATCTTTCCCAGTAGCCTGTGTGAGATCCACGTACTCCCTCATGCATTTCCATTTCTCAAAATCAGGTTGTAGAGGTTTAACTTGCACCTACTCACCATCCACATATAAGTCCACAAAATTAATGTCATAATGTTTAAAGTTGAAAGTGCTGTTAACGTAATTACTACTGAAGGCATCATGATCTATAAAGCCAATAACGAACTGTTTGGTAACTGCCCCTGAAAGAGGTTTTCCTGGTTACTGACATGACTGCAGCTGGAATACTATACACCTTCATCATGCCCACCCAGTCCAGGGTACTTAGCGTTGGTGGTTGTTAGAACCTCTGCATGGCCCAAACAAACCCCTGAGTAACTTTCACCTGTTTCACAAAACAGGACGCTGAAATAATGTGTACTTTATAATTCTGAGTGGCGTTCCCACTCATCAGGCAAAACATTTCTTTGACTTTAATTTTTGAAGTCCATGTCCTTCAGCAGCAATTTTTCTTGAAAAAATAAATCACTGTGTAAAGGTCCCAGCAAATCCAGCTTTCTGCTGATGGCTGTTAGGTCAGCCCTGAGTATAAAACCTGTTACCCACACTGTCCAAAATGGTGCTATTGTGGGCCCCTGCTGTCTCTCTGAAACATGCCTGTGGAAACGTGTGTAGCTAGGGTATGATTGCTGTAGTTCAGAATCAATTCTATCAAGATTCTGTAAGCGTAACAATTGTTGCTCTGGCTGATAAGACAGCCACCTACAGTGACATCCAGCTGGTTAAAAAGGGTGGTGATGGGGTAATTTGTTAGGGTGACGTGGCATCTTTGTTAGTGTCCGCCCCATCTTCTTTCAGAACCTTGCGGCACAGGTACAGCAATGTGCTGTGAGGTCTAGGTAACGAGCCCCAGGCCTCAAAATAAAATAAAAAAATTCTAGAGGGGAAATCACAGTTAAGGTAGCCAAAGGTGGCACCTTGGCATAAAAACTATTCTCAATGTTGGTTTGAGCAGGGCTATTTGAAACAGACCCAATTCTGATTTAGGACAATTCTTCAGAATTGCTATGAATGAAAGCCATTTTGAGTTTTAAAATACATCCCTTTTACCATGGGTGATGCTCTGCTTCCTCTTCTTAGAGAGTCTTCTAGGCTTATGGCTGCAGCATCTTTTAACAGCTTTTATTTTCTTTTTTAAAGTGCCGGGAGACCCTGTAAATGGAAGGCTTGATGCCGCTCTTTTGCTCCTAATCACCGCAAGACCAGAACCTTCCTGTTTTATGTGCATGCCCACTTTATTCATAACAGCGCTAGACAAAATTACAACCAAAGATGTAAATTGTGTAACAGCTATTTTCATGTGGGGCTTACTGATTTCTAGACCCTTTCTCAATATTGTTAGTTTTTCTAAAAAGACTGTGGAACATCCTTCCTAAACCATCCTCATACATAGCTGGTAATACAGGATAACCCAGCAAGGCATAACCAGCCTGAGCCTTGTAATAGTTTTATACAGAGAGGGGGGCCCCCTAATTTTGTGTAGTCAACATCCTTCAACTTTCCTGGGGTGCACATGCAGTTTAATGATCACTTTCCCAAAACAAAATGAAACGTGTTTATTCCATTGTGTCTTTATTTCAGTAGAGATGGATCTGATGTGCTGCTTACTCATGGATACTTAATGGGATTTGTCACCCGTGATAGTTGGCTAGGAACACAGCACAGCAACGGAAGAGAGTAGTCCCCCACTAACCGATGTTCCACTATATCCATGTAAATGTATGATGAATTTACCTCCACCACCACTCTAATATCAGCAGGGTGAGGGGCTATCATGCAAGAATACTCCCAGTCCTATCACCAATCCCCCTCTCCCCACCCCCAGTGTGGAAAAAATACTTTTCTTCATTTGCTTTTAACCAAGTCCTTCTGGTCACTGCTTCATCACCGACACTGAGCTCTGCTTTCTTGGGATTGCTGTTAATAGTTTTGTTGATGTTCTCTAATAAATGCTGGGTGTTTTAACAATAGCCTGGTAGTACGAGCTCTTTTATCACAAATGGTAAAGCAAAAGAAATTATGGTCCATAAGTGACCAGAATGAATTTCTGATAAAGCAACATCCCAATTACCATAAGAACAGCACACTGGGTCAATCAGACCAATGGTCCATCTAGCCCAGTATCCTGTCTTCAGACAGTGGCCAGTGCCAGGTGCCCCAGAAGGAATGAACAGAACAGGTAACCACCAAGTGATCCATCCCCTGTTGTCCATTCCCAGCTTCTGGCAAACAGAGGCTAGGGACATCATCACTGCCCATCCTAGCTAATAGCCATTGATGGACCTGTCCTCCATGGACTTATCTTAGTTCTTTTTTGAACCTGGTTATACTCTTGGCCTTCACAATATCCTCTGGCAAAGAGTTCCACAGGTGACTCTGCATTGTCTGAAGTACTTTCTTTTGTTTGTTTTAAACCTATTGCCTATTAAATCACATTTAAAGTATAAAGCTGGAAATAGCATTTTGAGGAAAGGTCCCCAGAGATGCATTTCTAGGTAAGATGACATAAAACCCACCTTCAGTCAGTTTCCTCCTTATCACAGGTCTTGAACTTGAGACATTTTGACCCAATTGTTAAATTTTCCAGGTCAGCTTTCCATTTCACCAGAAAATACTTGTTTCTCCCCTGTCTTTTCTTTGATAGAATCTTTTCTATTTTGTAAACACAGGCCTAGCTAATGTTTACTTTTTGTAATTCTTCAGGGCAAAAAGAGCCTACAACTTCCTCTTCTCCATAATCTTTTAATGTGTACACAGTTTGCTGCCCTTATGATGAAACACCCAACATAAATATTTCATCAGTAGAAGTTTGCTGATATCCCTTTTCAAAAGCTCCTTTTAATTTAGAAACCTTATGGGATCTCTTTTCTGAAAAAGAGAGTGTAGCACCTGTATTTTAAAGCTATTCCCATAGACCATTTCTGACAGGCTCAATGAGTTAGTATGGGTAATATAAATCAGTTCTGAAAACTTCTGTTGTAACTGTGCTTGAAGGCATGCAGGACACATCGATGTATGAAAAGGTGCTATGGGCATTAAAATACCTCCATGTCTTTGATTTTAAACTTCTCCATGACCCTCACCTTGACTTTATTATCGGTAAAAAAATCATGTACACCTTGTTGTTTTAACAAAGTCTTTAAAGCTTTGTTAAAAATAGATGAGGAAAAGAGTTCTTAAATTTCTGAGGCACCCAACCCTGGCTGAAAAGAGCTTCATCATTATTTAAGGCTACCACCCAGTTGTATTTAGACAAAATATCTATCACTGTTAACATTTATTTATTACTATCATTGAGGTTCAAGCTGGGAATCACAATGATCAAATGAGCCTGCCATTGTGCATCCACATCAGACACAACCATTTTATTTCTTTTAATCTTGATTCTTGCTGGCTTGTGCTGCATGTGAGTATCTTGGTCTACAAGCCAAGATGCAATCTGCTTTCTGCTAAGAGTTTTACCACATTTATTAGCAGCCTGAAATAAGTGGAAGGTGGGGGAGAGAAGGGGGAAATCACACATCCAAAACTCCCAACCTCCCTGGGAGAAAAATACATTTTCTTTTACAAGCCTGTGACATTCTGGGTATGTGACCCAGACCTGAGGAAGAACTCTGTGTAGCTCAAAAGCTTGTCTCTCTCACTAACAGAAGTTGGCCCAATAATAGACATTACCTCACGCACCTTGCCTCTTTATCAAGCCCGTCATTTCTGACTCCAAGACTTAAGTATATATAAGAAAACACTAACAAAAAAAATACAGAGCAAGGCATCATATTTTACATTAGATTCTTAAAAGCAGAGTTGTATACAATCAAGTGAAGCAACTATGCACAGCTGATAACATCTTTCTATTTATAGGTGCTACAAAACTAATCTTAAACATCCATTGTGTTTCTGAAAGAAAGAAATTGTACATCTTCATCAATATTCAGTTGTGTTCTTTTTGACCCCTTAGGGAGAAGTTTTGTCATGTAAGAAGTTTTATAAGCTTTTTTTAACAACCCTCTGACATATCGTCAGGCCAGTTTTCATTGGCACCTTATTTCCAGTGCCTGCCAGCAGTGACAATCTGCTGAAGCTTCTACCTCCCTTATCATTTTAATAACTTCAGTTACAGTTTGAGTGCTCAAGTTAAGCTCCTTCAGTTTGTAGCCTGTGGCCATAATTGTATTTAAGAGCCATGCCATAGTCAATTTAAAAGAAGTGCATCTGACCTGGTGAAACATTTCTGTGCACCCTCAAAGGATACAATTATGGCTGTGTGAGTGGGTTCATCTATCACACAGGCTTCACAGTTATCAAAGAGCTGACCCTTAAGTGGTGGTAATTGGCTTTGCCTACAACAACCCAAACAATATCAGTCATAACACCTTCTTTACAGCTCGGTCGGTTAGCCCCCTTACTTTGCTATAGGTTTTCTTTTAAGTCTCCTTTTTGCAAAAGCAGCATGTACATATCAGATTTATTCTTCCAGAAGGCTGGTTCTCTTTATCCGACTAATCCGCTAAAGAGGTCTGTCAAAAGCAGAGAAAATAATAGGTTTTTAATTCTTTGTTGCAGTAATTTACAAATTAAAAAGGCAAAAATTGTAACTTGTACTACCTAGATCACCCCCTCTTCTGTTTCTGAAATGTCATCATTCCTAGTGACCATGCTGTTGGGCATTGTCTGTCTCTCCGTCTCATCTATGATCCCTGTTACTATGAACAAACATATAAATGTATTTAAGCCCTTATAATTTTGCATCAATTTCTTGTAAAATGCCATAAGGGGTCTTACCTCATCTTGCAATTCTGTCTCAGACTGCTCTGCTTCTGATGGCAACTCGCTACGTACCCTGGCTGTAATCCTGTATGACTCCAGCTTAGTTATCTGTCAAAAACAACAAAAAGCACATTTTAAAGGTACAATTGCAATTTTTTTCCCCAGAAGCTGTGTAAAAACTGCCAGTTGTTTTACCATGATGATATTGCCATTTGACCAGCAATTGTCAGTTACTGCCTGACTCTTGGCCTCACCATCCTCCAACGATACCTTGGCCACCACCATATATACAGGCTCTTCTTCCTCTCCTTCCTACAAAAAGCATAAATATATTTAGCCTCTTATAATTTTGCAGCAATTTATCATAAAATAATACAGGCCATCTCACCTCAGACCTTAACTCTGCCTGCATCATAGCCAGCAACAAATGCCTCTGCATCCTATCTTGAAGTACTTTTACATCTTTTGCCTTATTTACAACAGGCGATGGCCCCACAGAGTCTCCCTGGTTCTTTGGTTCGATTTCTGGATAGAACGCGGGGTTCGGTACCAGTGATGCCTCTTCAGGGAAATAAGTGTAGGCAGGCTATCTCTTCTGAACACATGTAGGTGCTCCCAGAGGCAATCTGAGCTTCTTGGCATCTGTAGGCATCTTGTAAAAGGCCATGATCGGAACCTACAGGTTCCTAGTTTAAACTGCCTTGCAAAAAAGTAGGTTTTTTATACACACACCGGTCAATCAATCATTGCTTGGGGGTTTACAAATGTTCCAGTCCTCAGAAGGCCATTCCTGACTGGCTCAACAAAAGTGATTAAACAGTGCAATGGAGAATAGCCATGCCCCACCATTATGGCCCATTATGATTGGTTCAGGGAAATGCATTCATTTTAATATTCTATGACACATTGAAAGAATATCTTCTAATTGGTTCAGCCTTGAGCCTGGCTTGTCTGAGGCTGCTGTCCTGGAATTACTGGCATTTGATTAGTGACTGCTCTTGGGGTGAGGTGCTTTTATCTTTCTTGTTTTTTTAAACACTCTCACACACTTTGTAATAATCGTCTTCATTTTCTCTCCCTGCCATTCGGTCAGAGAGCCGCATTTTCCTTTCTTGCTGTTTTACAACTCTCTCTTTTTGTCCACTTTATTTTCCTCTCTCCTTCTGTCTTTTTTCCCCTTTTCATGTAACTAACTCTCTCTCTCTCACATTTTCTGATAATCCACTTTATATTCTCTTGGTCTTTCTCTTCCCCCCTTCTTTCTGAATATTATCCCTCTGTTTTTCTACAGTCGCCTTTCCACGTAGCTAACTCTCTCTCAGAGATAATCTGCTTTATTTCATAAATTATTTTAAAATGACTTAACGCTTCTTTATGCTATTGGCCTATTGAAATGACCTTAACAACAGCTTTAAATGTAAATAAACAAAAAACCCACAAAGCACTATTTATACATTTAGTCCTGATGCATTTTTTTCCCCCCAAAATGACCACCAGGTCAAAAGTGTACATGTCCAAACATGAGTCTGGGCGGGGACATAAAGCAAAAAGGGGGCATGGAAGCCTCTCAAAAGTTATATGATGAGTAAAGGTATAGTTTTTAAACTACTTAGCGTCCCTGCATTCAGGTTAAATGTAAACCAGCCTGAATAAGATGACTGGCAGAACTGAGTGGTTGGTTTGGGGTTTTTGTTCGTTAGTTTTTTGATCTCTCCTGGGCTCAAGATAACAGGACACTGTAAATAAATAAGACTGCTATAAAGGTCCCAGAGTCCACTGTCAAATTCTCCTCCCAACTGGAGCAGCCGTCAGTCCCTTAACTTTGACTATCTGCTCAGGTCTAAAGGAGTACCATTGTCTTGTATGAAATCCACTGGCTCTGTGGATATGGTGAAAGTGGTGGACATGATATACCTTGACTTTAGCAAAGCTTTTGATATCTCCCACAGTATTCTTGACAGCAAGTTAAAAAAGTATGGATTGGATGAATGGACTATAAGGTGGATAGAAAGCTGGCTAGATCATTGGGCTCAATGGGTAGTGATCAATGGCTTGATGTCTAGTTGGCAGCCAGTATCAAGCGGAGTGCCCCAAGGGTCAGTCTTGGGGCTGATTTTGTTCAACATCTTTATTAATTATCTGGATGATGGGATTAATTGCACCCTCAGCAAGTTCGCAGATGACACTAAGCTGGGGGGAGAGGTAGATAACACTGGAGGGTAGGGATAGGGTCCAGAGTGACCTAGACAAATTGGAAGTTTGGGCCAAAAGAAATCTGATGAGGTTCAACAAGGACAAATGCAGAGTCCTTCACTTAGGAGCGAAGAATACAATGCACCACTACAGCCTGGGAACTGACTGGTTAAGCAGCAGTTCTGCAGAAAAGGACCTGGGGATTACAGTGGACAAGAAACTGGATAGGAGTCAGCAGTGTGCCCTTGTTGCTAAGAAGGCCAATGGCATATTGGGCTGTATTAGTAGGAGCATTGCCAGCAGATTGAGGGAAGTGATTATTCCCCTCTATTCAGCACTGGTGAGGCCACACTTGGAGTATTGCATCCAGTTTTGGTCCCCCCACTACAGAAGGAATGTGGACAAATTGGAGAGAGTCCAGCGGAGGGCAACAAAAATGACTATGGGGCTGGGGCACATGACTTACGAGGAGAGGCTGAGGGAACTAGGGCTATTTAGTCTGCAGAAGAGAAGGGGGGGGGGGTAATTTGATAGCAGCTTTCAAATACCTGAAGGGGGGAGGGTTCCAAAGAGGATGGAGCTTAGTGGTGGCAGATGACAGAACAAGAAGCAATGGTCTCAAGTTGCAGTGGGGTCTAGGTTGGATATTAGGAAACACTATTTCACTAGGAGGGTGGCGAAGCACTGGAATGGGTTACCTAGGGAGGTGGTAGAATCTCCATCCTTAGAGGTTTTTAAGGCCCGGCTTCACAAAACCTTGGCTGGGATGATTTAATTGGTGTTGGTCCTGCTTTAAGCAGGGGATTGGACTAGGTGACCTCCTGAGGTCTCTTCCAACCTTAATATTCTATGATTCTACGCAATCCCTCTCAAAGGCAATTTTTGCTAAACATACAAGTATAATATTGACAACCTCAAGAATTCAAATTCAACCCCAAAGAATTATGATTTAAAAAAATACATTTTGGATTCTTTTTATTTATCTTTTTGATGCTGAGCCTTTAGAGAGTACTAGCTTCATATTTTCAAGCTCTTTTTCCCTCCACAACCATGAAGGTTAGAATCTCTTATTATTATTCTGTGATTCAAAAGCAGTCTCTTGATTCCAGCTGTTCTTTCAGAATAAAAACAACAAATATTGCCACACTCAAGATAAAATCATCGAAGTTGGTAACAATGGGTGTATGTATTTGACTACCTCCTAGACACATTGATACCAATAAGAACACTCACACTCCATAGAATTAAGGACTTGATTACTTTCTTCTTTTTTTTTCTGGGTAGAGGAATTTGTTTGCAAGCGGAGACTGCAACCACTGATTGGCTGTGACCACTCCCAAAGAATGCATATGTCTAAAATATTTATACATTGCTTTAACAGTTAATACCATTTTGCACTTCCAATTATATAATTCTCACCCATTTTTAGTTAAAAAATAAACCAAATTTCTGTAACTAATTCTCCCATCCTGCTAACACTGAGGCACATGCTTTCATACTTCATTAGCCACATTAATGATCATTTATCTCCTGAAAAAGTTTGAATTTCTAATTGAACGTTCTATTTTCATAGCTGGGTTGCCTCAAGCCAGGATCATCCTTTTTTTGAAGTAGCTTTCCTGGGAAATCTGTAGGTGTGCTCAATACACACTCTCAGGCCTTGACTACACTTGCGGATTCACAGCGCTGCCGCGGCAGCGCTATGAATCGCGAGTGTAGTCGTGCCGCCAGCACTGCGAGAGCTCTCTCACAGCGCTGCAAGTACTCCACTTCTCCGAGGGGAATAGCTTGCAGCGCTGCGAGCGAGCGTGCAGCGCTGCAGGCGCTGATTACACTGGTGCTTTACAGCGCTGCACTCGCTGCGCTCAGGGAGGGTGTTTTTTCACACCCCTGAGTGCAGCAAGTGCAGCGCTGTGAATTGCCAGTGTAGCCAAGGCCTCAGCTTTCCAGGTTTAAGGACTCAGGGTCATCCTTGATGGGCTGATTTCTTTGTATCTCATAAGTGGCAGCCCACTTTCACAGCCTTTTCCTCTCCGCTAAATATTTTTGTTCTGATACATTTCAGTGGCATCCTTCATGCTGACATTTACTTTTTTGTTCTTCCAAAAAAAAAGATTCTTCTGAAATGAATATTCTGTTACTCTTTTGCATTGGTCTCAGAAATTCCTTATGCCAATGCTATATCACAGTTTTTAAGGAGATGTGCCTGCAATGATTCTAACCAATGAGGTTTACAGGATAGAGACAAGGTGGGTGAGGGAATATCTTTTATTGGACCAACTTCTCTTCATCCAATAAAAGATATTAGCTCACCCACCTTGTCTCTCTAATAACCTAGGACCAACACGGCTATAAACACACTGCATACAGCTTTACATTAGTACAATCCCACAACACAATAATAATATTACTGCCCACTTTTCCCTCAACCCCATCCAGGTGCTGCCCGTTCTCACAGCCCCGCCCCCACTCCAGATACACTGGTTTTGTTTATGGGGGGAGTTCAGTTTGAAATTTTGGTGCAGCTCTTACTTCTCTGTTCCCGGGCCATTCGCTCTCCCGGAGCTGGCTCAGCGCCTGCAGGCGCTCGGGGGCAGAGCCTGGGGGTCAGGGAGGGCGGCAGCTCTGGGACTCGCAGACCCCAGCCCCCTCCCCCGGGAGCAGAGCTGGGCGAGGAGGGGCCGTTTGTGCAGAGTCACTTTCCTGCCCGGCCCCAGCCCTTTCCCCCGGGTCTCTCCCCTCACCTGCAGGCTCAGGGGCTGGTGTCGGCAGAGCCCGGGGCTGCCCCAGGGGCTGGTTCCAGTCCCCGGAGAAAGTCCCCCCGGCTGGGCACAGAGGGGCGCTAGGGAAGGGCTCTCCCCGCACACACCCCGCGGAGCAGCAGATTAATCCCGGGGTCACACTGGAGCCTGGAGGCAGCCAGCAGCAGCGTCTGACCCAGGAAGCTCAACCCACAATCTGCTGAGGAGCAGTAACAGCTGCTGAAGCCTCTACCATTAACCACCAGACTCTGCTTCCTGCAATGAAAGGGATTTAGATGATGGGGGCGGAGTATCGAGGGGAGGTAGGGACACAGTGTGGGCAGGGAAGGGAGAGGGGCAGACAGGTAAAATAAGGAACAGGGTGAAGCAGCTGGGATTTAAAAAGGGGGGAGATGATCTCAATCCCCTCTGCCCCAGAGCTGGGGGTTAAAGGTGTTGTGTATGTACCCCAATGCTTAGACAAGGCAGAAATGATGTACTAAGCTGCTGAAGGAGACTGGAGTCCGTGACATATTTTAGGCTCACTCATAAAGATCATGGGTTTTTAATCACATATATTCTGGTGTTTAAAAGAATTCCATTTCAGTTTACGAACATGTAACATGCAGATGCAGACAGCCTCAGAGCAGTTCCCTACTTTGATTCTGATTGCCTGAACTGGGTTCCCTTTCCTGCAATCCACGGCAAACGTGGTTTTCACTCCTTTAAATTATTTATTTAAAATATATACTTATGATTCTTATTGCTTTTAATACTCCATCATTTACTTTAGTTTATGTTCACAGAATCATAAAATATCAGGGTTGGAAGGGACCTCAGGAGGTCATCTAGTCCAACACCCTGCTCAAAGCAGGACCAATCTCCAACTAAATCATCCCAGCCAGGGCTTTGTCAAGCCTAACCTTAAAAACCTCTAAGGAAGGACATTCCACCACCTCCCTAGGTAACCCATTCCAGTGCTTCACCACCCTCCTAGTGAAAAAGTTTTCCCTAATATCCAACCTAAACCTCCCCCACTGCAACTTGAGACCATTAGTCCTTGTTCTGTCATCTGGTACCACTGAGAACAGTCTAGATCCATCCTCTTTGGAATCCCCTTTCAGGTAGTTGAAAGCAGCTATCAAATCCCCCCTCATTCTTCTCTTCTGCAGACTAAACAATCCCAGTTCCTTCAGCCTCTCCTCATAAGTCATGTGCTCCAGCCCCCTAATCATTTTTGTTGCCCTCCGCTGGACTCTTTCCAATTTTTCCACATCCTTATTGTAGTGTGGGGCCCAAAACTGGACACAGAATTCCAGATGAGGCCTCATCAATGCTGAATAGAGGGGAATGATCATGTCCCTCGATCTGCTGGCAATGCTCCTACTTTATAACAACCCAAAATGCCATTAGCCTTCTTGGCAACAAGGGCACACTGTTGACTCATATCCAGCTTCTCGTCCTCTGTAACCCCTAGGTCCTTTTCTACAGAACTGCTGCCTAGCCACTCAGTCCCTAGTCTGTAGCAGTGCATGGGATTCTTCAATCCTAAATACAGGACTCTGCACTTGTCCTTGTTGAATCTCTTCAGATTTCTTTTGGCCCAATCCTCTAATTTGTCTAGGTCCCTCTGTATCCTATGCCTACCCTCCAGTGTATCTACCACTCCTTTGAGTTTAGTGTCATTTGCAAACTTGCTGGGGTTGTAGTCCACGCCATCCTCCAGATCATTAATGAAGATATTGAACAAAACTGGCCCCCAGACAGACCCCGGGAGCACTCTGCTTGATAATGGCTGCCAACTAGACATGGAGCCATTGATCACTGCCAGCTGAGCCCGATGATCTAGCCAGCTTTCTATCCACCTTATAGTCCATTCATCCAGCCCATACTTCTTTAACTTGCTGGCAAGAATACTGGGGTATTTGGGGTAGTGCAGACACAGCGCTGTGCAATTCTATGGTATTGGCCTCTGGGAGCTATCCTAGAGTGCTCCAATGTGACCGCTCTGGACAGCACTTTCAACTCCGATGCACTAGCCAGGTACACAGGAAAAGCCCTGG